TAAATGTTGGTATGTCAGCAGGTTTTTTTTTTGTGTCGAATGTCTTTTTTTCTGAAAATTTGGTAAATCTTCTTGGTAAAAGAAAATTCTCGAATTTTCGATAAAACGTTCATTCGCGAAAAAGTATTTTCGTGAAATGTTCCGGCACACGTCTCTTTTCCCTTCTGTATTTTTATTGATCCAATGTGTCAACTCAAACGAAATCATGTTTCGGTTTCCTTTCGAAAGTGGAAAAAACGAAAATAACATATTTTAGATCGAATGCATCTGATCGTTGTGCGTCATTGCTCATGACATCTACAAAATCCAATAAGCATACGTTGAATATCTTTCTGACTTCATTCGTATTCAATTCTCCTGCATATACATATTCGTCGCAAATCGATGAAAAACCCAAAGCAAAAAAAAACACACACACAGAATTGGTATCACATCGAGTGTGTTGTTATTGGTTATTTCGTTCATATTAGCCGTTGGGACTGTGATTTTTAAGCGGTACATTACGACGAAAAAAAATGGATAAGATGACGACGACGACGACGACGACGACGACGACGATGAAATACATGAAAAATACCTTCTCTACGACTTTCCTTTTCTACTGTTCAATGCACATGACCAACATTAATGACGTCAAATATGGCAATAATTTTTGCTATGAAATCGAAAATAGCGAGTTTTGTTGAGGTTTATTAAAAAAAAATCAAATCGCAAATACTTTCAACGAAAAAAAATGGCATGTCCTACCTCACACAATCAACAAGTATGAAATGGAGTGATCGTGCACTTTAAGTGATACTATATTCGATCTTCCAACATAACACACAACGTATGTTTTTGTTGGCAGAGTGGAAGAGTTTCATGTTGCTATTTGTTTCTTAGACGATTTTCGTTATTGCAATTTGTAGAAATGAATGATTATGATATTTAGCAAACATGATAATAATTTGTTATTTATTTGAATGGCGTGCGCGAATTGAGCTATTATATCTCTCAATTTACACGTTTCCCGGCATCATAAATGATTCAACTGACATATGATCAACCCACTGGTGTGGTGATTATGAAATATACGTTGTTTTAAATAACGTTTCTGAATAGTTGTTCATGTGTATGGTACGTAGTATACTTTGAAAGCAGCAAAAAGAAGAATAAAAAAACAAACGAATAAGGCCCTTCAAATCAACCCCGCGCTGTTTGACTTTTGACACATTTTATGCCACATTGTAACCGCATTCGGCGAGACGAAACTCATTTTTTTATGTGTATTGCATAGATATGAAAGGAAAAAGAAATAATCTTTTTTTCTTTTACTTTTGAACACACTTTCCTTTCTCCCGAAACGAAAAAAAAGAACATCGCACACCATACATTGGACGTTGTCACATACGATAAATCGGTATTGCTGGTATTGGTGTATGTTTTGAAAATATAGGCGACAGCAAATTCTTGTCTAAATTTTTTTTCTCGGCGCAAATGTGTTGCTGTTTTGCGCTCTGTTGCTGCCGCTGTTGCATGCAAATTCTAATGAGTGTGGCATTTAGTGTCGTTTTGTTTCGTTCCATTAAATTTTTCTTCATGTGTCGTTGCATTCAACGATGATTTTGGTCAACGCACTACGCACACATAACTGTAGTTTGTGGATTGTGGTTTCGGCTCAAATAGATAACGCACGATTACAACCACATTCACTGCGACTCACTCGCACTGTGTGTACTTCAATATATATATATAAATATATTTAAAAAACTACTTCTTTCGTTTGCGCTGTCTCATTTGTGGCCGTCATTCGTATTTGTGGTGTATTTGTCGTTCTTGCTCTCGCATACATTCGTATTCACTCTCATTCACACAAACACACATAACGATAAAGTGAATAATCACTAAATTACATATAGTTGTGATGTGTGATCGCAACACAGAATTATATATTTTTTTTTGTTCATGCTTTCATGTTCATACATTCGATTTAATAGTGAAGATATAATTTGCAATTCACTACTTTCATCCACTGTAATGATATTATTTTACTCTTTGTGGTGTGTAAAATGGGAATGGATGATCGCTTTTCAGTGCTTCGAAGAGAGTGTCGTTTTTTATCATTTGCACGTGTGTTTCTTTCGTCAATGAGTTCCATGTTTCGTTGAGATGTTTTTTCCTTTTATTTCTTTAATTCAATCAGTTGACATTTCACAAGAGGAACATCATTCTTTTTTTTTGTGTCGATTTTGGTTCGTTTGTAATTTTTATTCAATTTTACATCATCATGAACATTGATGACCGTCATTCAAATCTGTCGATTTGATAATTAACATTTTTTTTATTATAGTTCACCGTTTACACGTTGCTCGCGATACGAACGTATAAATGTATTGTTCATACGTCAATACAAACTGACATGAACGGATTCGAGGAAAAAATATATATTTTTTACAATAAATCAATACAGACAGCAAAAAGAAAGGAAAAAATAGATAATTTTTGGTTTATTTAATTTACTTGATTAAAATCATTCACCAACCAAATTGCACTAAAACACGTATTATTTATTTCTCTCGCGATTCGAAAGACGAATTTATATTTTTTTTAATAATATATAGTCTTGGTTTTTCCAACTGGATTTCTTTTTCTCTTGTTTTTTTTTCGAGTGAAATGATATTATTGTCACTTCTAAGTCTATTTTTATGTCGTTGGACAATTAACAATCGAGAATTAATAAAAAAAAAACACTTTTTTTAAATATATATATATTTTATATATACTACAAAAAAATATAAAAAATTTCGTGTTAGCAGTTTAAACGCGTAGCGCGTGTACAGTCACTGTACTAACCTCTAGTTAACTTTTTTATGTTTGATTTGACAACATTCAGGAATTGGTTTTGTGAACTGTGTGGCAACCACATTCACAAAAATCACTCTAGCTCCCTCTCTCCGTAGCTTTGTCTCTGTTTTTCCTTTTCGTTTCATTCGCACTCTCTCTCACTCTTGTGCTCCCGCTCCTTCTCTTTCCATGTTCTCAACGAACGGCAAAATAGTTGAGAGTCACTGCTATGTGCGCGCCGTTTGCTCGCTCGCTCAATCATTCGTTCGTTTATTCACCGTGTATAATAATTTGTTCACATTGTATTTGTGGAGCAGCAATACACTAACGAATTTAGTGATCTTTATTTCATTTATATGACATTTTCAATGTATTTTAATATGCCACCAAGCACGACTTTCGCACACACAATTTCATATATATCATATATATTCATATATGGCATTTTGCTTGATCACACGGAATGTGTACTTGTATCGATACACATTTCGTTTTTTTTTTTCATCTCGCGTTTAAGGCGGGAGCATGTAACGAAATTAAAAATATATATAAGATATGTGCGTGTAATTGTTTCATAGCGAACAAGACAGAGAGGAGATAAAAACTAAATATTATTCAATGAAAAAGATAGTAAGAACGACCCCGAATGAGAGAAAAGGAATTCAATGAGATGAATAATCTGAATGTCAGCACCGATATCGTAGCTGTAAAGCATTTGTATCGAAATTGACTATACAACGAACGACACGTGCGCCATTCCTTTTATTTTGAAATTCGGTTTGACAATTCACCAGCACCGATCAACTTGTTACAATCATAAACGTCAAACTGATCATATTACTTGATGTGAAACGAATGAATGATTTCCTTAAGCATTCAGGATATATTCTTAAACAGTCGAGAACACTAAACAAAATTAAGTGTTTGGTTTTTTTGGCATTCGGTGGCACTTAAAAAACTAGATGCTTTTTATCTTCTTTCTAAGTGATCTTCGGTTAAATCATCATCTTGAAAAAAAAAGTTGAAGAGATTTTATGCTGAATGGATACAAACGGTCGTTTGAACTTGATAGATTCAAATGGTTTAAAATAAGACTTGTTATTGAAACCTAGTTAGTTCCCGCTGCACTCATAATTTTTCAAATGGCACACCTGAATACAAGAAAGAGTGTTTCTTACAAGAAAAGGGTCCGCACAATGCTTTAAAATACCTCATAATATTACCTTATCCGATTTGTGAAAGAGCAAAGTGAACAAAATAATATTGGAAACGTCATGAGTCTGCTTACCACAGTGTTTCACATCAAGGCCTGAAAAGATAGTTCTGATGGCATATTTCTTATGAATTTATTCAAAATGAGAATAGCAAAGGAATTTTTGTTTATTTTCAAATAAATTTTATTTTGTATTTATTAAATTTGAATAAAATTTTTCCTCCCAACAAAATAGTAGAATTGTAACAGCAATGTATGAAATCAACGTTATGACAACGTATACATTTTTTCTATCATTTGTTTTTAATTTAAGGTCATTAATTGTGTTTAAAACGTACAACAGAACAAAAAAAAATATTCTCAATATGTTTTCATGCGCATATTATTATTATAATTATTTCGTTTTGCTCATAAAATCTTCAATTCTCATCTGGTTTGGGTGTCATAGGTTTTCGGGTGTTTGTTTAGTAAGGCAAATTCTGTTCAATTAATCGAGCTCCAACTAATGTTCATTTCAAATTTTTCTCTTTTTTTTATTTTATTTAACATTTTACAGATCATACCATATATATATATATATATATTTGACCATCAATGAAAATTTGGACAACAATTCCGTCGATAATGCAGTTGATGTAGTAAAAAAATCGTTTATCGACAAAATTGGTGTTGAAAAAATTAGTTAAATTTTTGTTTCTGTTAACGGGGAACATAATTACTTAAATCACAAAACCACCTAATACATTTGTATAAAGGCCGAAAACGAATGATTTGGAATGGTAACACAAATGTTTTGTTTTTTATTTTTCCCCTCTCGTTTGAATCCATTCCATATGAGTTTGAGCTATACAATATTGTATTGTAACGATCCTGAAAATATTCCTGATTCTCGGAGATCTTTTTCTCCGCCCATTCTCTCTTCGTTCAATTCATTTTCTAGAAATTCGTGACACTTTTCTATAGATTTTTTTTTCAGTAAATTTTCTATCACAGGTAATCATTTGTTAAGATTGTTCATATGTTTTTTTTTGTTTGTTTTGTTTATCATTATGGCGTGTGCAGTTTATCCACGCAATCAATCGATTTTTCTTTTTCGTTTTGAAAATACGGTCCAGTTGTTGTTGTCAAGTGCAAATCAGAGAAACGATTGTTATACTGAGCAAACATTGGGCCGGTTGGTTGGTTCCTTGATTAGCATAATTTGTATATATGTTTGTTTTTATACATCCATGATGTGAAATATTAATTCTAAGCTAATTGTTTGATCCAATTGTAAATTGGTCGCCTGTCGATGTAGTGTTGGTATTAGTTCATTGTCCAAAGCATTCATGTATAATGGTGCCAATTTGTCATAGTGTGAGCCAGCCTCATAGCACACCTGATCTTGATCAAATGTTGCTCGAATTGCCAACTTTGTCATACCTAAGGGGAGAACCACAAAAGAAAATAATCGAAAAATAATCGTAAAACAATCAATTTAACTTTGTCATACCATTTGTGGCCAACAAGTCCAAGAACGAAACCAATGCCATTGATGCACTTCGAGCTATTTGCTCGGACAATTTGCTCATATCTATTGGATCTCTGCCATGTGCCGATTCATCATCAGACTGAAATGAAATTGATTGTTTTAATTCATTTGAATAAACGGAGGACTGTTATTGGCACCGAAAAAGTGAGTAATGACGTATTCATAATAACCTATAACAGCTCTATGAAAAATGATTCGATTTATTCGGAGATGAAACGATAATCTCTAAATAACGAAATATTGGTGGCTTACCTTCAAAATGAAAACTTCTGTCCATCGAATGATATGATTGGAATTGGCAAAATCTAATCCATGATGAACTCTTATACTTGGTATTCCATCCATAGGTTTTTTATCAATTGGGGAAATTACACTGAAATATTCATGTTCCAAAATGAATAGATTTTTGTTATTTATTTGAATCCGAATCGGTTTAAACAAAAAAATCACTCACCCAACATTAAAATCAGTATCATTATCAACCCATTGAATGCAAACAAGTTCAGTTTGTGATTCATCGCCGTCAATGGGACCGCAAACAATGTCAATGTCTTTCATTGTTTTCAGTGCTTGTTGAATAGCTGCCATTTTCTTTGGAAGAATTTGCACCATAAGGCCATCTTCAACAATGCTACATTTTCCAGATAGGCCAGATGTGGTTTTTAAAGCTCCATTCAGCACAAGAAAACTGGCACCAGTCACTGACATTATGATATAAGATTGATTTTTATTTTTAAATCGTTCTTAAACTTATTGTTATTGAAAATAGATATGTTGCATTGGTTACCTTTTCTTGGTTTACCCTGTATGTTAATGGCTTGCGTTGAATAGGCATGTGTTTCAGCACAACCGGATTCTGTGTTTTGAACACACACCAAATGACCGTCTGCCAATTCGGAAAAATTTGCAGCCAGTGCAAAAATGTGATCGCTTGAATTGTTCAATGCTTTCATCACTTGATCGTATCTAAAGTGACCAGAAATAAATTGCAATTATATAGGAGTTTTGATAAAATTGACCAAACATTTTTAGAGAATATACAGAAAATGCCAATGTGGGGACATTGCTTAAATTTGAAATTTGGTAGTTGTGACTATTTTCTGTGACGTTATTTTGATGGGTCTCGTAATGATGTCATGTCACAGGGTACCGTGGGTACTGGTTGTTGATTATGCGTCAACAATATTTTTGCTACAGCAACTATGGTTTCTTTTACATGTGAATAAAAATACATATATGAAAATATAGGATAAATATCGTACCGATTTCGCGGAATGAGCACGTTTGTTCGACGATCTTCCATGTGAATGTACATACCACGAATGGTTGGTATTGTATATGAATATGTTCGAAAATCGGCCAAAAAGTTGATGATTGTTTGTGCAATTTCAGCATAAACCGAATTTCGACCGCGTACCGAAACATGAGGCGATGGATAATAGCGATGTAATGCTCCAAGACGTAACATTCTTGTTTGTATTATAAATAGATGAAAATAAAGTTCATTTAATAAATTGTCGTTTTGGTTTGGAACAAAAAGGGTAAGTGTAATCCAGTTTTATTTGGATTTTTCACTTTTTTCTATAAAGAATAAGGAATACATGAATATTGAAGCGAACTTACAAACGCAATGGAAATATTTTTGCCCATGGCACCTCCCATCGATGTATTAGAATTCCAATCAAATATGGATTTTCCGGTATTATTATATTTTGCATACATTGAAATGTGGTTCGAATAAATAGAAAGCCGCCATGTTCCTTTGATCCCAAGAATGGCGTGGTACTTGCCATCGAAAAGCTTAAATCCGTTACTGCTTGACCTATATCATTTAATGAATTAAAGCTCATCAAAAATCAATGAAAAAAAGAAATTCAATTCACCTTTATCGGCATCCCTGTAGATTTCATTCAAATGGATAAAAATGTCCTTGGGCAATTCATTCGATGTATCCAATTCAAGTAAAATAACAATTTCATCTTGGCCAACCAAATGCATTCCTTGCGTTGTGAAATTAATCACAGCCTTATTTATACAACACGTTACTAGAAAAATGAAAATTGAAAACAGAGTTAAAACTTTTCCACATTCCTGCAGGAGCAACATTTGAAATAACATTTTAACATTTGTGAACTTACATTTAACTATTTTGACTAAAACATAGAAATTTCGTTGTAACATAAATTTAAGCTGTTGATTTTGTAGACGTTCAATAAGTTGTTCGTTATTGGTTACATCGGCATATTTGAATTCAGTTCGTGTCGAAACGCAAATCGGTGGCAATTTATTATCGCTTGCACCGCCATTCGCTGGTATCGATGGTGGAATATATGAATTTGTTTTCGGATCAATCGACGGCAATTTTAAATTGGTGTTCGTCTTTGATTTCGATGTTTGTTTCATTTCGGGTAGTGATGGTGATGATAGTTCGCCTAAGGAAGCATACATTTTTTTCTATGTCAAATGTCTGTACAAATAAAGTTGATTTTTAAGGGGAACATACCATTTCTACCGTTTGGGCGTGTATCCCAACTATTATCTAAATCGGTTAAATCACAGCCGGGCCGAATGCCATCGCTGAACATTACATTTTTCTCTTTGCGTTGTGATTTTGATGGAACACCTTCACGCTTCAATACCCCGACCGGCACCATTACGGAAATTGGTGCAGCTGCCGACCCTTGATTCACTTGTTGATGTGGTGGAATAACTGAACAATATTCCATTGGATTATTTGGATTTGGTGAACGCGCCATTGGCGATGGCATATCACCATACGGTGAATTAACCATTGCAGCTGAATCAACACCAGCGGATTGCGGATCGCCTAAATTCTGCAACACACACAATTTTTCTTTTCATATTTAAGTTGTTCATTTTTGATTTGCATTTTTATTACTTACCCGATTCGGATCCCTGTTTTGATTCAATAATATATCACATTGTATACAAATTCGAGCTTCAACATCACCAAGATACTCTAGTTTTGCTTTCAATGAACAGCACGCCGAACAGAGCACCAAACCGCAAGCACGACAATGATGGCGACGTTTTATGAATGAAAACTTTTGATTGCACTGCATACAAAATACGGTCATATTGTCTGGCACCCAATATGGTGCCATTTTACCAATTTGATTCATGGAAATGTTTGCTACATTCGTAAGATTCGATGAAATTGATTGTTCTGCATAGTTCTATGAAATGTCGAGCAAAATGAATTAATTTTTTATTTTGTTGTACATAAGTATTCTCCTTTTCTTTAAATTGAATGAAATCGTTTGAATATTTAAATTTCAAGTTAAAAATTTAATTTCACAGATACTCTTACCTCACTCACATTCGACTCATTTGCTGACTCACTGTCCATATTTGATTGACTGTTTTCCAGCTGATTATGACGAAGAAGAAATGAAAATGATTTTAAAAAAAAAAACAAATTATGTTTAAGATTTAAGAATAGCATGAAAATTATTAACTCTAACGAGAAACTTGGACATACAAATTGAATGAGTTTTAATGTTTCAGTACTTTGTGTGGTCACTGAAAAAGCGCACGCCCACAAAATGTCAAAGAATTTCGGTTTTGCTTTTTTTAAACTTTGGACCATGTGATTCAGTAAATTTAAGCATACCTTTGAACCAAATAAACAAATCAGTTATCTTTTATGAGGTAGTTTTCCAGAATGTGGTGAACATCGGTCACAGATACGTACTTTGAATTTTTGTCGTTTTCATACAAATTGATTTTCTAGTATGTTTATATAATTCAGTGACTGTTCCTCTGGGCGACGAGATATGGTAAGGAGCAAAAATGTGGATTGAGAGAGTGCTGCGAAGTCATTTGAGCCAAAAAAAAAATTTTTTGTGATAGAAACAGCTTTTTGAATAAAAAATGGGCCCATCGTCACTCAGCGCTCTCAATCACCACCAAATTTGCCTTTTCGCCGCCCACCTCAGAGAAATAGTCCCGAATATATTCCACATCAAGAATATATGAATATTTAAATTATCTAATAGTTTTTTTTACTATTTCCCTTGGTCTTGTTAACCACACATAAAAAAGTATTTTGGTTACTTACAATCATTTGATTATTATCGTTGATAATATTGGAATCATCTGATGAAATGGACGACGATAAAAACTGTCCGAATGCGGCAGGTGTGCTGCCGGCATTACCGTCATTCGTGTAATTCATTGCCGAACCAGATGGATCTTGTGGTTGTTGTCGTTGCGATTGTTCGATCAATGTTGAATTACAATTTTGTAAATTTAATGAATTTGGTCGTTTTGCAATGCCAGCCGCTTGTTGATCCAATTCACATTCCGAGCATTTTGTATGATTTTCTAAATCCGATGAAAATTCATGTTCTTTACAATTCACATTCAATTCATTATCATTTTCATTTGGTGGATTGGTTTGCATATCAATTTCAAGGTCGTTGATTGGTTCAACATTTAAAACCGAATTAATACTTTGGCCCGATTCAATTGGTTGATCCGAATGTATAACATTTGGTATTTGTTCATTGCTTGATGTGGTTGCATTTACTTCGCCAAATTCAACGGTTGATGCTTGTGAAAAACTGTCCGCATTGCGATCATCTTTGGTGGCAATTTGATTGATTATTTCATGTGCTTGATTTATGTCGGCAATGTTTTCAATCATTTGTTCACCATCGTAACCAACGTCATTTGCATATGGTTCAATATCATCGGATTTTAGGGAATTAATGGCACTTTTAACCGTATCATTTTTCGATTTGATTAAAATTGGATTTGGATCTTCTAAATCTTCAAGCTCTTGCAAATAACTCTCCAATTCAGTATCAGATACATCATCCATCGTTGCAGCCGTTTCAAATGTAATTGGTTTTATAAAACGATCATCGGACAATGATACCGTTTCTGGTCGATTATTCTTTTCCAATGTTTGATTTTTATTATCAAAAACGGTTGCATTTTTTACTTGTTCTGCGGCACATTGATCGACTTCAGGCATTGCTGCATTATCATTGCTTTGTAACTCGTTTGCTAACAATTCACTAGATTCATCATGCGCATCGGGCAGTGCTGTATCCGTTTCATGTGATGGTGTTATTTCCAATGATATTGATGTTGGTGGCACAACCGATGACAATTCCGTTCGTATTTCCATCGAATCAGCCGCTGTATCGACCGTATTTCCATCATCAATTTCAACACTCGTTTTTTCATCGTATACATCACTATTCGAATCGTCCGATTCACTTGACATTGAATCATCATCTTCATTCTCCTCATCGTCATTGGAATCGTCATCATCATCATCGTCGTCGTCGTCATTGTTGTGATTTGAACTCGTCGTGAGATTTTGGATATTTTTGCTACCTTCGTACAGTGATGTTGGTATAATTTGATCGGAAACTGAAGCTGGTACAAATTGATTGGATTGTTTTAACACAGGTAATATCGGGGCATTCATCTCTGGTTCATATGCTGCTGATGTTGTTACATTATTTGGATATGCTGGATTTTCAAAATTTGGCGTTGAAAAATCTGGCTCAAATCCACGACTATTTAATACGGTCGATTCATCAAAATATGAATGATTACCACTTGATTCATTGTTGACATTTTTGATAAATTTTGACGAATTGGAAGTTACAAATGTCTCTTTTGATGACGACAAATTCATATTATGCGGCTCATTTTCTTCAACAATTTTTACCGCTTCAATTCCGGCATTCATATATTCACTTAAACTGAATGGAAACAAAAATTTAGAAAGTTCATCAAGTCATTTGTGGTCGCTTGTAAAATGGTAAAAATGAATGGTTGTGAAAATATCTAGCTGATTAGAAATGGTTTACCTGTTAAAAACATTGGAAACTTTAACAAAATTGGTTTTTGTGATTCGTGGTGGTGCAGCCGCCATTGTCGAACTGGTTGTCGTTGCGACCACGGATGGTGGTGGTCCGCTTGTTGTTTGTCCATATTTATATGATGAATACAAATCCGGTTGCTGTTGTTGCTGTTTGCCCGTTGAATTGTCATTGTTTGTTGACGATTTATTCAGCTTTGAATGCTGTTCTTCGTTGAGTTCAAGATCATCCAAAACCTTATTGATATCAACGATATCCATTTTTTTCATTCGTTGCTGTAAATGATAGTTAATGCAAAAAAAAAACGTAAATATAATCCGGTATTGAAACGTGATAACCGTATCTAAAGTGACACATTCAGCAACAGCAAAACTCATTAAGAGAATTGAAGATTTTTCTGGCAATTTGAATTATGCATTTCACATTTTACTATATTTTACTAAATAAATATTGTAATTATTCGGAATGACTCACCTAAAGACGTGCATAAGCAAATTCAATAAAATAGTGGTGTGCGGCGTTAAGGTTTTTTCTCCGTATTTTTGGTGGAGAAAACAACAAAAAAAAAAAACAATTTTTTTTGTTCCTGTTGCAGTGTGAAACGTTATTCTTCTTTTATTTCTTTCTTATTTTGTTACACTTCGACAGCACAGAATCACAATTTCATTATATTATGAATCATTTATTGTCTAATTATAAGCGAAAATCATATGAGAATACATGTTCATTTTTATTTCTACACAAATTGTTCTCTCATATATACATAATATGTCTTTATGTCGTTATTTGTCAACAAAAAGCAGCAGCAGCAATGAGGTTATTTGCACATTCCCCATCCACATATAAAGATAATATAATTTGATTTGCAAACTCTTGTGACACAAACGACGAAGAAAAAAAAAACACACAACAACAGAAAACTCGTTCGGTATACCAAATTTAATATGTACACTTGTTTCATGCAATATGAACACCAAATCATACACGATAAATTGCGCCGATATTCAATTTATTCTGGTCAATTAGTTTTCCAAATCAGCAATTCCAAATTGACTAATTTCTTTGTTTGGATTTCCTGTTGTTTACTTGGCCTCTGTATTTGTGTCAGTCAAAAGTAAAGTTTGCACTACTTCTCTCAATGGATTTAAAATCCGCGTTACACTATGTTATGTTGTTTCTTTTTATTATCACTTTATTATCGAAATTATAATAGAAACTTGAAGCGTTACTCTTTTTATTTGGTTCACTATTTTTCTTTTCTTATTTCTGCGACACTTTTACACTCATCAGATGCGATAAGTTTCACCAAAACAGATCACATTCAATGAAATTGCATTCTTCGTTTTATTTGACCAAAATGAACAAAAAAAAACAAAAAAATGAGAAGTTTAAAGGAAAATACTACTAATGTGTGTATTTGAAATGTCAAAAGTATATATGTATATATTTCGTTTTTTTTATTTTGCTCTTTCGTGCTCTATGACTTAACATCTATATCACATAAATCTCATACACTTGCACATTGGCACAACTGAATAGACAAATACAACTTAGGGTGCGTCCTCAATGTTGTTGTCATGTTCGTCGAAACGGTTCCCAAATTGAAAATTTATGATTTATTGAAAATGAGTGTTTTGATTTTTGGTTTTCCATCAATTGCATTTCACTAGGTGAATTACAATGATTTTCAGGTGATAAGATATGTTAAGAAAGTGTACATTTTTATTATCAAAGTAGAAAATCAATTTTCTTCTTTCATAATTCAATTAAAAAGCATTCTATCCGATTTTTACCATTTTTTTTTTAATTTTTTGGATTGGATTAAAACGGGGAACATACTAGATCCACTTTAAGACCAAATTCAAACTCCCAATTTTTTCTTAAATATATTTTGGTGGCATTGTTATATGTTGGTGCGTAGTACTTAGTTTGGAAGTTTGAAATGATGGAAAATGACAACAAATTTGTATTTGCCAATGCATTAGTAGAGAATGCCTTTGTTGAACACAATCATTGGTGCACAGAAACTCGAACTTGAACAGTTGCAATTATTTTTGTAAAAGATGGAGAATCAAAACCAGAGACTAAATATACAAAATATGAGTAGAGCGGAGATTGATCTTTATGTGAAAGATAGATTTGTTGCAACGAACGGAATTGCTTTGAGAAAGATTCACAAAAAAATTGTCGCGTTGGAAAAAGAAGGGCAAAAGTCGAAAGAAGAAATAAAAAATTTGAAAGAAGAAATAAAAAATTTTAAGGAAGAAATAAAAGATTTGAAAGAAAAAAATGTTGAACAAGATGTCGAAATAAAGCAGCTCACAGATAAATTTAAAAAAGTGTCCCAAATTTTCGGTCGGGTCACTTGCGAAAATTGTAAGAAACCGTCTGAAATTTATAAAGTGCTGTACAAATGCAAATGTAAAAACAAGTAAGTGTTTGATAAAACAATATGGACAAACACTTTCACATAAATTTTTATATATAACATATATTCTTTAATCAGATTTTTTAAACAACTTGTTTCTTCAATCGATACTTTTCTTTTCAGAGATACGAGAAAAATTAAAATTCCAATTGGTCAAGAGGCACGCGACTTCATCCGTGGTTTAAGATAACGGTCACAGAGCACGCTATCCACACAAGCATCGCCATATCTACAGGGTATTCATCGAGCCGTATTTTGGTGCGAAAAAAACAACGAAAATTAAGTACAAAATAATGAAAATGAATCGAAACTCTCACGTCTGATAGGGATTAATTTTTTTAACATAAAATATAGAGAATTACAAACATGGTTTTTTCATTTAATAAAATCAACAAAAATTAAGTACAAAATAATGAAAATGAAACGAAACTCTCATGTCTGATAGGGATTAATTTTTTTAAAATAAAATATAGAGAATTGCAAATATGTTTTTTTCATTTAAAAAAATCAACATCTCTCTCTGAAATATATGTTGAGTGCCTTTAAACATTCGTAGTATGTAGTTTAAAATGATTCATTTTACAGCGAAACAACAACCAATACAAATGCGAAAATGTTTGAAATATACTTGAATTTAGCTGGCGAATTCATCGCGAATAAAATAAATAACACATACACATATAATGGGGCGACAGAGCGAATGTTCGCCCTCGACTATATTTTATGAATGTTCAACTTTCCATTGAAATGATTGGTAATGACGTTTCAAATTGTCTGCATGTACATGTGTGAATGTGCGGTTTGCGCAAGTATGCGTGTCTGTGTGTATTACTGCTGCTTCTGCTGCTGTCCATGCAAACAGACTGAACCGACCGAATAAAAGTATACACATAGAAAGAAGTCAGGCGAAGCGAAATCTAGGTAGAAAAAAAAATAATAACGCCAATTGCATATGGCTGACATTTCACTTTGATACCCGCGATTCACCAAAAAAGAATTGATTACGTGAAAAAAATAACAACAGTTTTTAGTTCATTTTACAATCATATACTGAAACCGATTTAGTTAATTCTTAGGCACGCATTTATAATTTTTGTTCCCCTTCAATTAGCTGTTCGTCAAGTGCACCAAATTGCAAATATATATCTATATATATACGTATAATAAAAATCAAAATTAACAAAACCAAGTAATAATAAAGAGAGAGAGAGAGTGAGAGAGAGAGAGAGAGAGAGAGCGAAGAAATAATATTGAATTGAAATACAAGAAAGATTTTCTGCAGTTTAACTCATCATATCCAACCAATCAACTAGCCAATACTATTATCGACACAATCGACGAACTCAATCCAAGTGGAAGCGATTTTGCCAAGCAAGAGACGAATTTGAGTCTACAATCCATTCATCAAGTAAATCACTTTCATTTCCAATTTAATTATCATATAAAATAAAGTTAAGCTATTTTCTTCACATTGAATTCCGAAAACGATTCAAATTGCACGGATTAAAATGAAAATTATGTGTTTATTGCGATTGAGAAGAGTGTAATGTCAATCCTCAATTTGGAAAAGAAAATAACAGAAAAAAAAAAATAATTTCAATGAATATACAAAATTATCCAAGAAGATTATCTAAATAAAGACGCATTGAGAAATTTGGCTTAATTTTGCTGTCAACGTAAAAAGTGACATCGACTTTCATGAATTAATTTTAAGCCATCGTTTTTTTCATATTGTGCTAATGCTACCATTGTTATTTCAGCACAAATAATGGTCAAAGTAACAAAAATGGCTTTTCCTCGAGCATCTGACCGTATTTTAAATAAAAAATAGCTCTTTAATTTTTGTCAATAAAGCAAAACGAATTCATTGTTGAAAAGACGGAGAGAGAGAGAAAAAAAAACGATAAAAATGTCATGTTGTCATGTTTTCCGTGCTGATTGTGTACGTGTGTGTGATTTTTCATTCGTTTGAACGAAAAAAATTTATGTGCACATTTAAATAGTTGACAAACTGATGTCAAACCCGCAAGATTTTCATGTATAAGTGTACGTCGAATATCTTCAATTAACACGAAAATAATTTGACTCTCAATACCCGAGAGATCAATTTACAAAAAATCCTAGTTTTCCCAAGTACTTTTCTCTCACTTTTTCATTTCAACTGGATGTACGCATATAATCGTAAAACCTTCACGGTTCTATAGTATAGTATCTATAGTACCTACCGCATACATGTTGATGTTCACTGTATTAAACCAATTGCACCAGTTCAAAGGAATGTGCCTTTGTTATGCATCGCGCACATTCACAAGCGAAATCTGGACCTAAAACACGATTTTTCGAATGTGCTTTTTGTATTTTTATTTTTTTTATATCCAAAAAAAAAAAGAAATACGCACACATAACATATTTGCTCAAATCTATTTGATGGTTTATCACTTTATCATCTGATGACATGAATAAAATACAATTTTAATCGATGTTTGACAATTCGAAGGGTTTAAATAGAAGAATTTTCGTTTGTTTTGTTTTTAAAGTTAAGCTAAATTGGAGAATGTACTAATGTTCGTTTCATTTTTCAGTTAAAACCGCAACAAAAGCACGCATCCAAAACAAGAACTCACCACCAATGCGCACATCCACCAAAAGTAACATCTACATAAATATTTCGATTTTCCAGCAACCAATACCAAGTAAAAACGTCAGTCAATAAATCAACTTAAAAAAATTTAAAAAAAACTCTCACACACACACCAACTCAACAATTGCACATCAAAATAAACTCATCGAAAATAAGCAGAAAAAAAAATTTGCAACCCAGTAAACAAATATCGTGAACTAGTTTTTAAACAAACGAAAAACTTTGCATATAAAATTCAGACTAAAAAAACAATATTTAACTTTTAACAGAAAAAGAAACAAAAATTGCTAGCAAGAATAAACAAAAAATAACATTTAAATTTATTTAAAAAAAATATTGAATCAAACATATACCAATTTAAAAATAAAATTTACGTCTGACTGTGATAATAATTGAAAACAAAAAAAGGAGAAATTTAACGCAAATGGTTGAAGTATAGTTTTACTTAAATAATAACAACAAAAATAATAAAAAATAAAATAGAACAACAAAATAAGTCAAGAGTGTAAGAGAGAAAGAGAGTGAGAGAAGGAGAGATACAAAAAAAAAACAAGAAAAAATAACACGTACCGAAAGTTCAGGAGTAGGTAATTATGTAAATAACGCATAGACACTAGTAATAGAATTTAATTTAAAAAAAAAGGAACACTTGAAACAAAAGCAAAAGAAAAAAATAGAAAGAGAAAAAAACCGAATTTCGAAACAAGTACTACTAGAATTTGCATAAGTTTGCATGGACATTTTCTATTTTGTTTTGTGTGATAAAAAAGACTGTTATCATCGTCTGAGCACGATATTCTTTCAGTCGTAAAGTGTGTTTAAATTTTATTTCATCGGAATTGTTGCTGCATAGTCGTTGACACAGTGGTGGTGCATTTCATTTGAATTCGATTTAAAAAAAAAAATCACGACTATCGTACTTAGTTATACTACGTACCTCATCTATCTGAAAATCCACGTGAACATCGCGATAAATATATACATACATACGCATAGCGCATAAGGAATAAATTTAGTAGAGAAAAAAAATCGCCATTTTCAACGACAAATGCTCTAAACTCTGTTTGCAATAAAAAGAAAGAAGATAACAATTCGAAATCAAAACTCAATTGACAGTATTTAAAGCGAAAATCAATTTCGATTGAACAAATAAAAGAACAACAAAATTTAAATAACAATAAAAAAAAATACCGCGCCCCGAAACCACTCATCATCGCGTTTCTGAATAAATTTTGTGTGGCAAATTCAATTCGTGTAAATTTTATGTGTTTCGACCTGACAGCGAATCACGCCGAATCGAAACAATCAAGAATTTAATTGAACTGCCATTGTTTAGTTGATAATGGCAAATAGCGCCACCGGAAGCCAAAATAATTTGTCGAATTCGAAGGAAAAACTATACCCGAGTCATTCGGATAACGAAAACGGTGAGTGATTTTGTGGATGTTGTCTACATTTTTGCTTAGATTTTTGCTATATCCGTAAAAAATTTGGACTAATTCACAATTTTTTCATCTTTTTTCTTCTATTGTGACACCATTACCAATTTAGATGACGATCATAAATCGGAACACTCAAACGACCCAAAATCAGTTCAGGATGCTGAATCTTATATGAGATACGCGACATTGATTGAAGAATATTCACATCTGAACACTAAAGACATTTTGATTTTTCGTGGCGGTAAAGACTCGTCCAAGCCCGAAATCATACGCTATCCTCGCGAATTTTTGCTCGATTTAAGAGATTCCGAACTCTCAAAGCGTAAACCAGAACAACTTGGTCGCGCCTGGGTTCGCATTGGTGTATCAAACGAAGGTGCGTGTATATTTCATTTAAAATTATACCATTTTTATTTTACCACAAAATAACGATTGATTCCAATTGAAATGTGCGTGTATAGATCGAGAAAATCGTGGTAGAGATGATAACGAGTGTACTTCAAACTATTCATCAAATACTTCCTTGACAAATACAACGTCTTCGTCGTATTTATTGCCATCATTTGCATGTAAACGTCGCACTCCAGGTAGGGAACGGCCAACAAATCGAAATATTTCAGATAAAAATAGTAATATTTGATTCGAATGTTTAATGTTCATAATTTCTCTGAATTAAAAAAAAGGCACATCGCAATCGTCTAGCACTGAAATTAAACGAAGCAGTGCATTAACGCCCAAGAAAGAAGACCCATCAGCTGCACTTGCTGCCCGACGTAGTATATCGAATAGTAGAAACTCGAACGGTGCCGAAGATGAAGATCAACGGTCTGGCGATCGATCCATGTTCATGCGTCGTCAAACGTAAGATTTATTCGGTGTTTCTCTCCCTCTCTCTCTCTCTATCCTTCTCTCATGAATTAATGTGATTTCATTTTCAATTGAAATGCAGTGAGTATAGAAATGCAAATGAGAGTCGTCGAATCGGTAGCGGACGAATTCCATTGCGAGACTCATGGGACGATCCAAAATACAGTCGACCAAATGATTTTCCATCAAAATCAACTGGTGGTGATCAGTCTTCGTCTCCAACAAATTCTGCATCGGCATCGGCATCGGCATCGTCATCGACAGCCACACCAACAACTACAACAGCAGCAACTAAAACTGAACCCAGCAAAACAAATGACACTACATCAAATGGTACATTTCCAATTTACTTCATTATTTATTATTGAATTAAAAACAAGAGATTTTAATAATTTTTCTGTTCTTTTTTGCTGCCGAATGTGTAGATTTCAATCTGCGTCCAGGCGGTGGCCTTTTGGGCTTGCGAGATCGTCAACGTGAAAATGAACAACAGCAATCGCAATCATCGATCGTAACACAGCCGCATGCACATTTATCACGAACAATTTTGGGCAATAATAGCATTTTGGACAAAGATAGTCGTAATGATTTCCGTGAGCGCAGCGTTCTTGACGATCGATATGACCGCAATGATCGACTTGATCGAAATGATAGATTGGATCGTATGGAGAGAATGGATCGCAATAGAAATGATGACCGTGGCGATAGAAATGATCGTAACGATCGTGGTGATCGTCGATTCAATCGTGATCGAGATTTTGGACGGTAAGAAAACAATATCATCAACACAAGAATTATTTTTGGAATGTAATTATTTATTTTTTTTACTTCAAATTTCAAGTAGATACAACGATGATGTGATGCCGCGTAATTCAATGTCGCGATACAACCATAGCGATCGAATGAATTCATTTTCGCAGTACAATTTTAGTAGCAATGATAATCGTGGTCGTCGTCAGTATAATGATCGAAATGCTGAAGAGCCAGAATGGTTTAGCGGTGGTCCAACCTCACAAAATGACACAATCGAGTTGCGTGGCTTTGAAGAGTACCCGGCACGAAATGAATCGCCAACATCACGTAACAGTGTCGATGCAGATGAGGAGAAAGCAACGCCAGATTATGATAGCGATGCTGAAAAACCGAATAAAGAAAATGACAAATCAAACGATAATAATAATAATGATAAGGGGAGCAACGACGAAAGTGGTGGTCATCGTGAGGCAAACAATGAAAAATCAAATGACTATGAACCAGAAGATATTGAAGTGGCCAACGCCGAACCGAAACAGAACAAAAAAGATGATAATTTTAATATTGAAGACTTTTTGAAGGTTGAAAATATTACAGATTTCTTAACGGTATGTTGTTGTGTTTGCAATTCATTTTTTTTCGATTTTTCGTACGATTATTATTGTTGTTATTCAATTACAGGGTGATGATGATGCATTCATTGAGGCTAGCTCAGGTGAATCAAGATTTAGCCGATGGTTCCGATCCAGTGCTGAAGAAACAAAACCAAATCAAACATCAGCACCTGAAAAAATGCCACCCGAGCCAAGTCATAATGTGAACGGTGAAACGCATCCGTTTGTGCATTTTGAAATGTTGCGAGGAAATGAAGGTGAAACAAATGCACCACCACAAAATAGTTTTCTCGAATTTTTGCAACGCGGAAAATTTTCGGCAAATATGCAAAAAGGTCCACCAGTGCCACTACCATCACTCGGAATGCCAATGCCACCACATCAGATGATGGAAAATAATAATATGCAACAAAATGATTTTCAACAACAATCACAACAACCACCACAAATGGCACATCAACCAATGATGACCAATCATGGACCACTTAGCGTCGAAGAATTGGAGGCTCGACTCCGTCAATCTGGCCCATCAAATAGCAATTCATCAAATAATATACCAAACGATGTGTCGACGATGAAAAATTCACAACAACAAGATATGATTGCATTTAAAAAACTGGTGAGCACGTCAATACACTTAAAATCCACTAAAAAACCATTGATAATATTGCTATCATTTCATTTCAGTTACAACAAATCAGCGGAGATCAACAGCAACCATCTCCACCACTACAGCAACCACATCAACAACCGGTAAATAATTAAACAGTTTATTTTTGATAAAAACTTACTCGAACGCACCTAACTAACATTATGGATACATTTGCTTGATTTCAGAAAATGTTTCCATTTGGACCGGTTCCACCACCACAGGCACAAAATCAACAACCACGTCAATTAATTCCGCATCCAGAAACTGTTAAGAAAATGCTTTTGGGCGGCAGTATACCGTCAGCTTTACAAGCTCCGCTTGTCTCTCCGCAACAACGTATGGAGATTTTAAAACGGCCAGAGACTCAAGTTTTAATTCAAAGTAATTTAATCATTAAAATACCAAACATGAACAAAGCAGATATGTAGAAAATGTAATATATTATTCGTTTCAGGATTAAGCAATGGTGACCTGAATCAAGGATTTTTGATACAGCAGTTGAATAATCCGCAAGTGAATCTACGTGACCGTGAAATATTGTTCGAAGTTTTGAGCCATTTCAATTCAGGCGGTAATGGTGTTGCCACTGCACAACAGTTACCACCCGAAAGTAATATGCCATCACATCCAGTTTTGCCAGGCAATGTAAGTACCTATTACGTTCGCTGTAATGAGAATAATTATTTTTTTAAGTGTGCGATTTATTGATTTTTCCATATCGGCTATATTTTTTTTTAGTTGGCAGTTCCAAATGCGAATATACCGCCAAATATGCAAACGCCAAACAATGCAGCTCTTTCGCCAGACATGCTGCGTCAATTGTATTTGCAAGCAGCTGTCACTGGATCGAAGCAACAATTGCGAATTTCACCATTACCAAATGGTATTCCTGAGAAGCAAATCACTTAAAAATTACTTATTAATTATTATTGATTGTTTTTCGATTATTTTCCGATTACTTATCGATTATTTTAAATTTTATTCTTTTCTTTTGTGATTCTCCCCTTAGGTATTCCACAACGCATTCCTTCACCACGTGAGCTTCAATTCCACACGCAATCGATCATGCAAAATGCTCTGATCAAAAAGAAACTTGAAGAGCAACGGGAAAACTTCCGAAAACGTCAGGTATGCACATATATTTTGTTTTTTTTTTTTTTCTTTTGCTTCGTGAATTTTCTTGACACACACACACACATCAAAACTTGTTTCAATACAGGAGCAACAACAACAACAACAGCAACCACACATAAATCAATCGAATCTCGCAAGCAATAGCAATGGCATTCTTGAAAATATGCACGAAAGCTCAATGAATAATCAGCAAATGAATCGTGGTGTTTCACCAAATTCGAGTGCTGCCCTGAAACAAATGAGCCAAAATCAGCATACATCGTCACCAACTCCTACGCTTGCATTTACTCCAACATCTGTATTACGTAAAATGACTGCCGAAAAAGACATGGATAATTCAGCAAATTTGTCCAATGCAGCCAACATCAATAATAAAGACATCAATAAGGTAAACAATGGCGAATATTTTTTCTTTCTATTTGATAATATTTGTGTTTTAACCGTATCTTTATAAAGCAGCAACAGCAACACAATATGTTCCGCATGCAACAGAATGTGCCCATTCAAGGGATGCAAGGTTTGCAAATGCAGGGCATTCAAGCAATGCCAGATGTAAGCATGCAAAGATTGCTACAAAAATTACCAATAAATAACCAGCAGCAACTTCTCGCCCAACAAAAAGGTACGTAAACATTTTAATTGAAAGTTAATCGATATCGGAACGCAGTGAATAATAATTGTTCGTTTTATCTTTTAAACACCGTTTCAAGGTCGTCCAATTGTTAAAGGCAACGGAATATCAAATCAATTTCCAACAAATGAATATCCACAAGCGTTTTTGATGGGAGCGTAAGTACTTTGGAGAATTCAAATCCCACAAAATCTCATTACAAATTTCTTGGAAAATCAATTTGGTTTTATGAATCATTTTCTTTAATAGAAATAGTAATAGCACCAGACCACCGCAATTCAATCTCGAACAACAGAGACAACAGCAATTCCAACAGTTTCAGCAAGCTCAACAAGCGCAACAGTTTCATCATATGATGCAACAACATCAACAAATGATGGGCGGACCACCGATGAGTAAGTATTAACACTTTTTTACTTTCCTGCCGCAAAAATGTTGTAAACAATACTGTAATTTGTTTCTACAGTGGTTCATAATGAGGTGCAACAACAACAACAACGAAGCAATGGAGATGGAACACTCTCGCCTACTAGCAATCAACTGGCTCGATGGTTTTCACCAGAACTTTTAGCTCAAGGTATTGTACATCTACTTTATTTATAATAAGTCATTTTTAATCATTTTCATATTTACTTCTGTGTAAATCATAGCCTCTGCCGGTAAGCTACCATCCTTGGATGCAACACAAGCTCTCAGTTTGGAGGAATTCGAACGGAACATGCATTCATCCACAACCGTGAACAATTAAAACACAAATCAGAAACAAAAGAGAAGAACAAGAATGAAACAAAAAAATAAATGAATAAAAATAAAATACGTGAAGAAAAATAAATACATCAAGAAAAGTCATGAATTGAAAAAGAAATCATGCTAACAATTAAAAAAATAGTAATAAAACCTAATTGAAACCAACACATTTGAATTGTTTGAACTTCTTTATTTGAGAAATTGTTTTCAACTCTTTACACACACATATACATATATGTGCTACGCACGTCTTCAATCATTGCACGAATACATGGTCGAGCTGAATATAAGATGGTTTCAACTCGATCGAAATCGAAAAGCAAAAGGGTAATGCGAAAAAACTCAAATGACAACCTAAACATGCCAAAAACTAAAAGGAAAACAAAATAATGTGGCATCCACTATTTTCACATTGAACTTTTGTAAGTATATACAGTGTACAAAGACAGTACAGAGTACACGTTTCAGGGTTTTCAACGTGTTACTCGGTTAAAGCAAATGAAAATCATTCCAAAACAGCTGTTAGGAAGGGTAGATTCATTTTTTGAACAAATAAAATTCGTTTAACATGAAAAAAAGATGAATTTCGAACAAAAAATTAGTAATTATTTAAAAAATATTTTTAACAAAATAGAAGGAAAAAATATATTGGCTAAATCGACAACTAAGCCACTCCTGGATGCACGAATTCAGTGCGATAAGGATTTGTTATGCACAAATTATGCACAACAAACTGGTAAGGGAATTTTTCAGATTTTTTGGCCATAGAAAAATGGTACAGATTTCAACAAGAAACTCGAAAGTGAGTTGCTGGAGAGTGAGAGCTCTGAATTTGTTCTCAATCAAAATGAATAGTCACCTTTATGCCCAGCGAGAAGCAGGGGGCATAAGTAGCACAAATCATTTCTACCACCACGTATATTTGGATTCATTTCACGCAAATCAATGAGAAATAACGAATATTTGCCTTCGATAAAACTTTTTCGTCTCAACGAGATACACATAGCTAGAAATAATTATTATAATGACATTTGTTAATTATTTTTTATTGTTCAAATTTCTTTGTAGTCTCAGATATGAAAAAAAAACCCGTGAGGTCAACAATTTCTTAATCACACAATCTCAAGGTTCGTAAAACTCATCGCAAAGAACACAATTTCCTAAGACTAAGATCTTTAACATGTAATCATGAAGCGAGATTCAATAACATATTCATTTGCTGGCAAATGGTGAGATGTAAAGAACAGTCAAGGTAAAATTTTAAACGAAATTATCGAAGTCATATTAAATGGAACTTAACATATGTCTAGATTTATGAGTACTTAAAATAAAATTGGGGAAAAGCGTGCCACACACATTCCGAGAAAAGCTTACGGAAGCTGTATAAACCAAGTATTTGTTTAATACGAATTTTCTTTTGCTAATTACATTGACATCACTTGATAAGGGCCAAACATTGGTTTTTTCGAACTCATATACATGTATAAGCCGATTTCAATTGTAATTTTTATTATTACTGTTATTTTTTTCTCTTGAAATTGACTATTGTTCTTGAAATCAATCATATCAAAAGAAATCACAAGAATGCATGTGATGAAAAATGTAAAGCTTTGAATTCTGAATAGTATTTTGTTATCTTTAAATTTATTTAAATAATGGCTTTCCAGGGTGATTGGAAATTGACATTTGATGATAATTATTTTGTTTCCAACCTATTTCCAACCTATATTCTATTTTGAAAACAAGGACCTCTTTTTGCTCAAAAAGTTTTTCAAATGGGAAAAAAAGTTTTCTCCTCACAAAAAGGATCTCATTTCCTAGGATCCATCACCCATGTTTTAGAAAATTCGCAAACAGCTTTCGGTGTTTCATTTTAATAGAATCCTTTCCGATTTAAGAAAAAACGTCTTGCTTACATGTTTCATATACAGCAAACGCAAACAGCAGTTTGCGCGAATGACGAAACCATCCCAGTATGACGGAAAGAGGATGCGATATATACACAGTTCCAAACCGTAATCTAGTAGGCTTTCTGTTGTCATTGATGTATGAGCCATAGATTTAGAAAAAAACATAGAACTTTGAAAATCGGGTCACCTGTATTTAAGTAATGGTCCATTGAACAAAACAACAACTAGGTTTCAGCTTTTGGACTAATTCGTTCAAAAAATCTGGAATTTTGAAAATATTATATGGAATATATTTAAAAGTCATTGCGTATGAGGCAATTGTCATTGAGGCTTGAAACGTTTTCACTTGACATAACCAGGGTATATGCATATCGTCTTAAAGGTCTTGAAGAAAGATATCGAATGGCGTCAAATAAAAATTTAAAATTCGAATTTTTAGTTCCAAAATCCGTCAAAGAATCAAAATATCAAACACAAATCGGTCAATTTCTCAAAACTGGCATGAAAATCTGCCCTATTTTTCTTCCAAGTTTAAGCTAAAATTTGCTGCCTACACATAACCGAAAATTGGCCTTCTTCAATTATGAGTAATAAATTGTGACATTTAGAGTGGAAAATAACCGAAAAATTCAAATTTTCGTCGAATTTTAAAATTATTTAAATTCATACGTCGGAATTTTTCACATGTTCGGAATTTTTGAAGTTCTTTTATTATTATTCTTTATTTGAAGTGTTTTTTCAAGTCCCTCTAGATATTATATATGTAATCGTCATTTGAAACGATTTTGGATTCGTTTAAAAATCTTGAAATGAATATTCATAGCGAGAATGAGTTTTAGACAAAGAGAAAACGATAAACATTTGAATTCTTATAAGAGTTATTTTCTTTTGTGGGATTGATAATCCAGCTTGTTTTGATTATGTTTCATTTATGGTCACACAAAAGTCCTTAAAAATATTTAGCGGTTTATTAGCCTTATCAAAAGTGTTGATTTAATCTAGTTTATCGCCCCAGGTTAAGAGAGAAAAATCAATTACCGTGAATCAAATTCAATATTAACGGCTCATAAATTGAATCAACATTCGAAAAGAAATTCGTCAAAAAGTATGAAATTTGATAAAAAATATCATTATCGGCTTTTTTTACATTAATTATCTACATCATGGTTGATGGCAAACTGATTTTATTTGATTTGGAAAATTGATTTTTTTTTTTATAATATGCTAAATTCATTCCAGTAGTACAATTCGATTCAGTAATTTGATTTATTTAATTTCAACTTGGCATACAGTGTATGTGGCTGGTGAATATTAAAAATCATGTAGCAGATGATAGATTTATTGCGATTATATCATTTGATGCATGAAAAGCGATTAAAACAATGAATCACAATAGAATTGTTCAAGTTAAATCACTTATTCCATTGATTTTCTGTGTTTGCAATCGAATGAATGAGGAATACACACGTATACACACACATCAATACCAAAATTTTATGCACTATGATTCTTTTCTTCGAATTATGTAATATGAAAATATCATATTGGCCCCCCTCAAATTGACACATTTATACGTTAGTTAATGATACAATGTGTGTTCGTTTCATTTGTACGAGTATATTGCAATAAGTCAAATGTCGTCAGTAAATCAAATCGAGCGCATATTGCACACGCCGACCATATAATAATTTATCAACAGGGACCAAGAAAAAATAAACCCACACGTTAATGGTCAACATTCCATATTCCAATAGAGCGCGAGTCAATCATTTTCATTGGCATTGTTGAATTGTGATTGAATAAAATTGAGTAATCTTATTATTGTTTTTCGCCCGATGTTGTAAGCACCATTTATTAGCATTGTAGAATTACAAATTTAGTGCAGGCAAAAAAAACCAACACTCCAACTTTTTTTCTCTGTCTCGGACCGAGACTCTCGGTCATAGAGTTAATAAAGTAGTTGTTTCAATAGCGATTTGCGTGCACAAATATGTGCATGATGCAATACGGAGTAAGGTCTACAACTCTACATACAAGCCATTAAATTGAATGATATTGGTATATCATGATTTTTTATTGATTGGATAAAAATCACAACACGAGCGCGCAGTAAAAAAAATCATGACAGAAGAAAAAGAAAAAGCATACACACACGATCGGAACGAACGCTCAGGGAATTTCGATGGAAAATTAACATATGTAGCGTAACACGATGATGACACCTATTCGGCTAAGTTTAGTAGTTTATGCTACTATTCGTACCCTGAAACATATATATATCATACATACGGAAAAGATCATTTAACTTTTAAACGGTGTTAGATACTGCACAACAACAATAACGACAAAAAAACAACAAAAAAATGGGCGTTAGATACTACACTGCATTGGCAGGTCATTAAATAAAGGCGACGATGCGAATAATATTTGTTTTATGATCAAATTAACTGTATGTGTGTGTATGTACTATGTTTGCCGTTTATTTTTGCCAAAAAAAAGAGAACTGAATGGATGGAATAAAATCGAGCACACAAATGAAGAGAAAGAAGCATGAGTAAGGAACGATGATGATGACACACAATGCAAGGGGAACTGCCAAGAGAGAGAAAGAGACTCAATTATGAGAAGGGTGCACACTGAATGAATGCCTATTGAATTATTCAATTTGTTAGAAGTCTCTCTCTCTGTTTTTTTTTTCTTCTTCCTTTCGTCACATATTATTGTGTGGCAAATTCCTCGCTCGTTTTTTTTTTCGACAACCCATTGTGCTAAAGATTTCGATTTTTTTTTATTGTATGTTTTTAGCATTTTAAAAGGTTAAAAAATATCATCGCAGTCATTGTAATTGACATAACACATGCCCAAAATAACATAACTCATTGCACTTTACACCACGTTTTATATCCACCTCGCACCGTCTCTCACTCCCTATGTCTAGTCAAATTCATCATTTTAAGTGCGGGTTTGTTCAGTTTAGAATAATGTATCATAATTCATTTTACATGTGTCAAAAGATCAACAAACATGAATTTCCATGCACGAATAACTCGAGTCAAATTGTTTTCGATTCATAGGCTTCTCTTTCTCTCTCTCTCACTCTCCATGTTTTTTTTTCCTTCAATTTTACAAGGCTTTTTTTGCTCAAATTAAATTTTACATATTTCGCCATTGTTGTGCGTGAAAATTGGGAATATTCAGAGTTTCTAAACTTTCTTCTAAATCTTTGAAAGATTTTTCCACGAAAAATACAAAAGAGGAAAAAGGCCAAGGTAAAAACAGCCAAATGTATCTTAAGCTGCTAACTGAAAAGCATATGTCTGGAAATTTGAAGGAAATCCCAATTGAAGTGATTCAATGAAAAACCGGAATCGAAGGTTACTGTAAATGAATATACCTTCGTAATATGTGATTGGTGACTAAACAACTAATCGTTTCGTGAACTGAATAAAAATTTTACGGTGTTTCAAGTGATGAATTAAAACATTTCATCGAAGTAAGTAAGCTTAGGAAAAGTCTCTGCCACAATTTCATAGAGTGGTATTCCAAGTATTTATATTTATCGAAGTACAATTACTGTGGGCGATAAACAGCAATACGTGTGAGAGGAAATTGAACGAAGAGCGAAAAAAAAAGAGAAACAGAAATGAAAGAGAGAAAATGTTAAGCTCTTGGTCGGACACTGTTTGTGAAAATTTACAAATAAAAACTAAACCAAAGAAACCACTGGCTTTTCTTTCACTATTTAACCTAATTTAAATTATGCGCATGTAATTATTTTGCATTTGTTTGTTTGACTCATTCGTTTGCATAGTGAAAATTGATTTTGTATGTGTGTGTGTGTGTTTGTCTGTGCGCTTCGAGAATGTTTTCCGGTTTTGATATACACAACATGGTTGTATTTTTTTCATGTTTTTTAATGCCTCGTCGATTGTTTACTTTATGTTTCATCGTGGTTTATGCGAGATTTTCCGCCTGGTGTGCACATAAATATGCTGTCAGTTGATTGGCTAACTTCAATAATTTGCAACACACAAATATTGGTTCAAATGCATGGCTGTAAATGTATTTGCCATGCATTTACTGTTCCGAACGGTGGGGAGGCGTTCCCGATTATGCGCAATAGCAAACATTTATATAGTGATACCCGCCCTCAATTTCGATTACATTCGACAATTGACTTTGTGTATCGCGCGTACAATGCATCGTTGTTATCATCGTCGACACATGTAATTACTATATCATTTCAAATACCAATGAGTACAGACGAACGACTGTTGCACACCCACATGCATACATTTCTTTGGCCTATTCGCCCCTCATTCACTGTAGCAATGTCATTGGCGACTCAAACACACATTCCCACAAAACGATTGTGTACAGGTTAGCGGTTTGCATTTTTCGCGTGCCATACACATACACCAGCGTGTACATACACGTACAAATCGAGAGAAAGAAGAAAAAAACTACCCAATTTTCTTGGCACGCGATCACTCTTATTCACTCTATTTATGTGTAACACCAAACCAGACCCGGACGCGCGCGAGTTTTCCAACAGATAATAACAGTTTGGCACATGTACCACTAGGGTGGTCTCAAAAATACACAGATTCGCATTTTGATTGCAGCCAGTGCTACCGCATCGCACCGAGCACTCTTAGTGAGTTGCATAAAACTCATTGTATTGCGAGTGTGACATGTCTCTGAGTCGCCATTGAGCGAGTAAATAATACTCAGTAGAGAAATGAGTGAGCAGCGACTCACTCGTGAAATCTTGCGTGAAATGCTCGCTTGAAATGATTGCTATATGAACTATTTTCTAATTATTTTGTCAATAATTTTCAGTGTAAATTTTTCAAATGCATTTTTTTAAACCAATCGTAATAAATATTTTGAATTTGTTACATTACACAAAAACATTAAAAGTAAAATGATAAATTAAGAATTTTCGCTGATTCAGGTTTTTTCGTATGAGTCGATTTGATATCGACTTTATTTACATTTTTTAAATGTTTTTTCTTCAGTTTTTATTTTTTAACAAACAATGCATTTAAACAAACATGTGATGCGAGCGAGAAATGACTCACTCACCGTATGAATTGAGTGAGAAGTGAGCTGCTCTTTCATTCGTTCAGCGAGCATACAAGCGCACCGAGCATGCAAAGAGCTCACTGTATTGAGTTACGAAATGAACTGAGCGTGCGTTTCATAGCACTGATTGCAGCGCATTATTCATTTGTTAGACTTGGTACTTGTTTGAAAAAAAAAAAAAACTTGCTACAATTTTAGGCACGGGTTACCGATGCCGTAGAGTGAAGAAACTTTGTACACATGTTTTTTGAACCAAGTCTAATCAAGTTCAAAATTCGAATTTGTGTGCTTTCGGGACCACCCTAATGTACACATGCACATGCATATACACACATACACACCGTTCGGGAGGGTGTTTATCAAAAACAATGTTTAAATATGCTCTACTTTGCATTTAAACTGTGTTGTTGGTGTTTTGTGTCGATGTGTGTTCCACATGTTAAATTAAAAACACAAACGAAAACGATTGACGACAAGTCGTCTTCTTTGCCTTTTCAATCCCGTTATTTGTGTTATTGAACGCGCCGAACAATGGCACGCAAAAAATCTCACTAACTACAAATTATATACATATTTATTTTTGTTTCGCAATTGAAGACTTATCGAATTGTTGACGAGAAAAAAAACATGAACAAGGATTATTATCAATGAGCAAATCAGAGTGTTTGAGGAGCATTTCATAAATCAAAGTGCCGTTTTGGACATATTCTATGATAGACTTTTACATCGTGGTGACAATTTTGTGTATTTTTTTTTTCAAGTGTACTTCTTGTTGATTTTAATCACATTGACATTTTATCAATTTAACATTATTTAATGTAATCAGCTTCAATAACATTTATGTTACAAGTGCAAGTAAATCAATATTTGTGTCATATTGATGTGTATGAATTCATTGCCAGCGAATGTGAAAATAGTTCCATTGAATTTCGATTTAGTTTTTGAATCAAAACTTCAACATTTTATTGTGTTTTGTGTAAAAGTTTGTAATTCTAATTGAAGCATATCATTTTTACAAAATGCATTTTGAAGTGTGATTTCATAAAATTAACGATATTACAAGTGAAATGTATGAAAAATATTGTCATAATTAAAAACAAAAAAAGAAAACGTTTTTTTAGAAGAACAATTCGGATACTTTCGAGTCAATAAAAAACATAAAAATGTATAAATCGTAAGTGAAACTAGAGATTACCAGCAAATATTTGAAATAATAATTGCAATGATCATTATATTTAGTCGACTTGGTTTAGACGAAACAAGTATCGTTTCGTCTTGATTTACATTATTAACATTCATAGTCGATAGAAAGGATTTTTAAATTTCAACTTCACGAAATGAGATTTCAACCTATCTTCTCGTCAAAAATTTCTTACAAATCTTCATTTCGTAGTTTTTTCCAAATTTTTTATTCATTTTTGGGGTGTTTTCAAGTCAAGGGTGATTTGCTCTGGAATTTCAAATATATACGAATGAATACACGATTAAAATGTCATTGAATCAGACAATATATTTAGATTTTGTCATCTGGACATTTCAGCTCATCTGGATAACGTTAGGCGATGATACGAAATGAAAACAATAGAAGTGATTGTTATAGTTATGGTAGTATTTTTATACCTATACAGTACAACAATCACTTCTATTGTTTTCATTTCGTATCATCGCCTAACGTTATCCAGATGACAAAATCTAAATATATTGTATGCATTGAATACATTTTCAGGAAAACCTAGATTTAGAGAGATATTTCCAGGCGGATGATTCAGTCTAGGAAGCTGATGTCAGGCGCTGAAATAAGGCGAAAACAATAGAAATAATTGTTATCGTGATTGTAGCAATGTAAACGTTTTTATAGCAATAACAATCCCTTCTGTTGTTTTCACTTTATATCAGCGCCTGACATCAGCTTCCTGGACTGAATCGACTGCTTGAAAATAAATCAATCTCAATATCTGAGTAAAATCTCTCGATAAGAGACTCTCCATGTAAGGGAAACCTTGTTGTGGAAATATTTTTTTTAAATTAAATTTTATTTTAAGTGAAACCACCAAATAATGAAAACCCAGAGATAGTGGAATTTTTTTGGCACCATATGAATCCACTGTCGATTTTATCTGCAACCTTAGGTAGTTTTTTTATTTAAATTGATTTATTTTTGAAGTTAATATAAAGTAAAAATATAAAAGGATCATTGAAATGGAAGATGAATCACTAGAACGTTTAGCGACATAAAGTTTTAAATAATAATAAAATGTACTGGTTTAGTATCATACAATGTTAAAATGGAGCACGTTTTGATCGTATTATAATTATTGATTTTTTTAAATGCTATTGAACTTCAAAACAATTTTTTGAAAAAAAAACTCCTCCCAAAACTATGATGTGACTACATAAATTACCACACTTTTTGTATCAAAAATGTGATTTTTACAGAAAGTAATTGAACAGTTTAATGATTTATTGCTGGGTAAACTACAAACGTTGGTAAATCGGATACTTTCACGTTGGTAAAGAACCCTAGCAAATCCAAAGAATTCTACCTATCTCGCACAAAATTGAAGAGCAAAAAAGGTCTTCATTTTCTTGGGGAAGAATCCTAGAAAATCCTTCTTGCCACCGGGGTTGACTCGGACGATTCAATAGGGGTTATCCAGGCTTACACCCCCTGTTCCCACGTAAACATACTTTAGTCCGACTGATTTAAAAAATAATAATTCACTTGAAACCAACCGAACTCTAAAAAATATTTTGGAAAGAGATATTGGAATTCTAATATTTTTCATATATTTTGATAATTTACATTTTTTATATAGAAAACATCAGAATTTTTAGTTCAACATTTAATAACAAAAAAAATCTGGAATATTCGTAAACTAAGGTTTAAAAAAAACAATTTCGCATGCTTCGAAGTAAAATCTAAATACTTGTAAATTAAATAAGTCTAAATCATGGTGATGTGTATGCGATCGCGTATCTACTTGTCTCAAAAGGCAAATGCTACACGAAAATTAGAAAAAAGAAAATGAAACGAGCAACGAACGCACCGAAAAAATCTCATCAAATCAAATTGACATTTAATTTCTTCAATGTTGAATTCGCTGGTTGCTTTTTTTGTTAGTCGCTACCGAGCATAGTCTCAGTTACATTGCAGCTTGGAATTCCCTAGTGGCGGTTTGTGTTAAGTTCATTCGGTGTGTACCCTTATTCGCATTGCGTTGAATGTCATTTAACACAAAATGCAAATGAATCTCTCTCTCTCTCTCTCTCTCTTTCACTCTATAGTTCAGTACAGCAAATGTTAAAGCGCATGAAATATGTTACTGTGGCCAATCCACGCGTTTCCATTTGACAATGGGCCGTAGCTATTCTAAATTGAAAAGAAGAGGAAAAAAAACACGACGAAGAATTAATTTGCGCTGCGAAGCGATGATAATATAAGTTTTAAATTTTGTTATGGTTTTGCATTAATTGAATAAATTCAGTGATTGCGTCAAAACGTCGATAGCACGTAATTGGATTGAAAGTCACACGATGATGAAGAAGAAAAAATTAACTGAACACAGCGATTCTGAGAAATGTAAATGTACAACGCTTGAGAACAGTTAATTGATTTACTTAAGTCCATTTTTACATGACCATTTCATGTTTTTCATACTTTTTTTCTTCTTTCTTTTGCACAACCCCCCAAACGAGAACCTAGTGATAAAATCATAATCAACGAAAGAGAGGAAAAAAAGATTTGATTTTTTTTTGAAGCCATTGCCATTATTCACTTTATTACTTATTCATTTATTTTGACTGTGATCGTATTCACTTATCCAAATTGAGTCATTTCTATTCCATTGCATGGAATTTATTTTCATTTCGCTGTATTTTCCTTCCCTCTCTCTAATTCGCAATAATTTAAAAACAAACAATTTTATTCCTCATCGTATTGTTTTCTTCCCTGATTTCTCAAGCAAATTTGATGTTTCAATACTGTTCGCCATCGCCTTTCCATACATACTTCCACCGGTATATAATAAAATTATATTCGACTCAATGCACCGAAAAATTACAAAACATAACATACACAACATCAATTCTGAAGAATTGCGGCTTATAATTCATACTTTCCTTCGTAACACACACACACACACATACGTATAATATAATCATGTTAACTGTGTATTGCATGCGCTGCCATTTTTCGTTGTGAGTGTTGGATTTTTCATTAGATGTAGACTAAAGTGGCACACAAGGGATGCACATTACAGCTACCACTATCCGTAAACATTCTTTATGCTGATTGCATCTACTCCAAATGCGATGTAGCATTAGAGAATTACATCATTTACCTGAAATAATAAGAAAAAAACAGACCAGCCTTTGTTTTAATATAATACCGTTTATAAACTGGCATAATTAAAACGAATCAACACAGATTAAAGCTTAATTGTTGTATCGTATTTATGAGAGATAATTAATTATAATTAAACATTCAACTCAACAGCTACTAAAATTGGCGTTGCGGTTCATTAGACAATTTCTTTAAGCACAAAAAAGGTTACTTTTAATCCTCGGACGATTGAGACAAAAATCGATCAATCAATATTTCTTATTGGAGTATTTTACAAGTGGCATTTGTCAATCTCAAATAAATTGTCTTCAATCGATTTAAATCACATTCGAACGCATCAACATTCATCGTTTATAGTGTAACATTGATAAATGTTGGTGTTAAAACAAAATGACATTTTACGTAATAGAGGTGTTTTTTCCCTTCTAACGACTACGATTTATAACATATGTTCCGTTTTTGTTTCGGTTTCAGCGGGGAAATTGACTCAGTGTTATCACATCGCCTAAGCAAAGTCAACAACTCTGAATCGAAATCGTCACACATCCATCAGCATCAAGAAAACGTCCCTGGAATTCTATCAACCGATAACGAACCAACCACATCCAAACCAAACCAAGTAGGTCCAATTATTATTAAACTTTTCAACTGGCCAAACTGTCGGCGCTTTTTTTTCATTGTTAAAAAAAGTAAAAGCAGGTTTGGATAACGTCATCCAGGATCCAGCCAGGTGCTTTTGGAAATAAATCGAATGTGTTGCGTAGCTTTTAACGTAACCCATTCGATTTATATCTAAAATATCCGACTGGATCCATCATTGATGACGTTAAACCCTGGTAAAAATAATGAATGTTGAGAAAAATGTAAGAAATAAAATTGCATAAAAAATACGTAAGTTGTAGTAGTAGCATTCTTAAAGGTGAATCGCATCTATTTTCTCCAATCAAACACAGGTTGGCACAGTTATGTTGTACGGCGTTCCGATAGTATCGCTGCATATTGAATCCCAGGAGCGTTTATGTTTGGCCCAAATTTCCAATACACTATTAAAGCAATTTAGTTACAATGAAATCCATAATCGTCGTGTGGCACTTGGCATAACGTGTGTTCAATGTACGCCCGTACAATTGGAGATCTTACGTCGGGCGGGTGCAATGCCGGTCAGTTCACGACGATGTGGCATGATAACGCGCCGTGAGGCCGAACGTTTATGTAAATCATTTTTGGGTGATAATGCACCACCACGTTTACCCGATGATTTTTCATTCAGTGTGTATCACGAATGTGCATGGGGTTGTCGTGGTCAATTTTTACCATCACGTTATAATTCATCGCGCGCCAAATGTATCAAATGCAGTTATTGTGGTTTATTTTTTTCACCAAATAAATTTATATTCCATTCACATCGAATTGGACCCGGCGATAAGTACGTTCAACCCGATGCGGCCAATTTCAATTCATGGCGTAGGCATATGAAATTAAGTGGTGTATCACCAGACGAAATAGTATATGCATGGGAAGATGTAAAAGCTATGTTCAATGGTGGAACACGAAAACGGCTTATTTCATCGGTATCATCAGCATCGGCAGCAAGAGCATCATCACCGGATACCATTCGCTCTTCCGCAGCATCATCAAGTCATCGAAATAGTTTAATTACCACCAATATTACTAACGTTCATCTAGAACAATCGGAACAATCACCAAAACGTATGTTATAAACAAATCAATGTTTTTTTTTTATGAGCATTATTCAATAAAATGCAAGTTTGACAATTTGTCTTTTAAATTTGGTAATCCAAAAGGGACAATTTTCCAAATCTGAAGTCTGGTAATTAATTCAATTTATCTTTGTGAGGTTAAAAAAACACAATTTCCTTCGAAATGTCGAATTCGTCTCGATTATCCAGAATAAATGTGTGATTTTTTTCATTGTTCCATTGACCCTCAAGTATCCACACGATTGATTTAAATTCAAAAATATTTTGTGGCGCTTTTTTCTTTCCAAAAATTCGAAAAGGTCTAAAAGAGTCAAATGCATCCGAAAATCAAACACAACCGTTGAGTCCACCTTTAATGGCAGTTGCGGCCGCTGTAGCAGCAGCAGCAAATGCTGGTCATCAATACCCGATTCGACCAATGAACGTGCACTCGACAAAGCTTCCGAATGCAAATTGTTCACGATTGATGAACTCAACATCGATCTGTTCGAATCCGGTACCGAGAGGCGCAAACTCCATTCCAACCGATATTGCACCATCGATTCAACTTTCACGTAATTTTGTTATGGATTATATGTGGCAACAGCAGCAACATCATTCAGGTAAAATAAATGGGTCGATGTCATGTATGTTCAAATTAATTAATTCCAAATCAATCAACGATTTATGCAACGCTTTATTCAATTTAAATAATTTAACTATACATATATATTAATGAATGACGATGGCAAACAACTTCTTAGCTCAATAAATGAAATCGATTCAAATCGAGCTTAAATTAAAAAAAAAGAGAATCTTTTTCCAGAAAATTAGTGAAATTGTGTTTGTTTTTATTTCAAAATTTCAGCATATGGATTGCCATGGTTAAAGCAACCAGCCCATATATTTTTCAATCATCAAACATTCCATCATAATCATCAGCATAACAGCTTAAACACGCTTCCTTCGTCCCAAGTGGACGGTGACAATGATAAAAGCACATTGAATCGAAGAAATAGCAGTGATCGAATTGTGTCACCAACGGTTAAACCATATTCACCAAACGCAACAGCAATGCCGTACTATAAAAATTCGGCATTTAAACCGGTACTTGGTACGCATCGGGCGCAACTTTTTAACGAAAATGTGTTCAACTCATCACTTTTGGGTGCTTCAGTGAGTCCAGTGCAAAATAATCGTATAGATGAACCGAATGAATCGAATTTTAACAATGAAAATGAATTGTAAGTTGAATGAATTCTCAAAAAAAAATCAGTTAATCGGATTTACGTTTCTTTTACGCGAAGAGATAATTGAAAATTTTCTACAAAAATAAAGTCGGCCTTGTTTTTTTCAAAAAAAAGAAATGTTTCATTCTAATTTCTTTCGATTTTCATTAAAATAGAAAAAATCGAAGTAAGCGATACAATCACCGACGCTCCGATGGCGGTAATTCAGCATCAGATACAATACGTGACACCATAACAAGTGTACCGGTTGAGAGTGTGTCAAGTGACGAAGAAATGGTGGATATCGAAACAACAGAAGAACATAGCCTTGCCTCACATCCTCCGATGCAACGATGTATCAGGTATGAAAGAGGCACATTTCCACCATCAATTGCAAGCTAGTTAAATTCGTACAATTTTATTGTTTCCTGTAGCAATCACAGCAATAGTAGTTTACTTAATGACAATTGTGATGCGACAATTGAAAATGGTTCGTCGATACATACGTCAGACGCTGACATTCTGAAGAAATTGAACAGTGGTCATTGCGGCAATAATAACAATAATATCTTAAATAATAATAATAATAATAATAATACGAATAACAATAATACCATACACAAAATACACAAAAGCGACAGCAATAACATTGAATTGCATAAAAGTGGACAACCGTGCAGTGATTTAAAACAGACAGCGAATGTAATGTGCAGTGTACAAAATAGAAGTGATGAAAATGCAGTGATACGGCATGAGATTGATGTGGAAGGTGATGATCTAAATGAGAACGATACACATTCCACCAAAAGTAATTTTAGTAACATTGATGTTGAGATCGAAAAGGACGAACGTAAACCAAATTTAAAGAGTTTTAGCGGTGTGATGCCATCATTGACAAACGATTCGAATAGCTGGATTAGTAACAGCCCCGAAAAATTGACCGCCGAATCCAATTTGATTTATTCAAATTGCGATGGTGACACCACAACATCACATACATCAAGCATGGCTACAAATCTGAAGAAAGAGGTAATTGACACATTTTGAATACACATATCTTCTTCTTCTTCTTCTTTTTTTGTTGTTAAATATCCCGATAATAAATTCAAATTATCACCAGTTATTATTTATAATTGAGAGGAGAAACAAATAGAAACAATTGGCAATTAAACCCGTTTTTGTTTTTCTAAAAAAAATAACCTATCACTCCCCTTTTCATCAAACATCATCAACCTTACCGAGGATGAATTCGCATTAATATTAGTGCGGATTCGCGGAAAAAGCAATCAAGATCAATCAAAATTACAGGCAAAAAGATGCGTTAGAGATTTAATGGCATATTCAAAAAGCGATTAAGTACTTTAAATAACGATGATTACTTGTAACCAACCAATATCTATATGTATATTGTATATACATCGACTGGTTTACATCAGGATTTACAAGTGATACATACTAAGTGGCGATAGCGAGAATATAAGCGCAAATATGAATGAAAATGGTTGTTTGAATAGAAGAGAGTGAGCAAAAGGGCGATATACAAAACGAAAGAGACAATCACAATGTAAAATTTTAAATTATCCCTCTTCAATTAATCTCTTAATTTGGAGGGTGCATTGCTGTTCGCAAGTCTAATTCAATGCCATGCATAGATACAAATTCGACTTAAATGTGGCAGCTGCACTACCGTTATGTCGTTTGTGTTTACTTGTAAATGATGTATTTTTAAGTACTCACCGAATCCGATCGCAGAAGATATTGTAACAACAACAAAACAATTTAAACAACAATAACAACATCGACATAATAACAAAATAATCATAATAACAACAAAACAACAAATAATCTGCTTTTTATTCTCTGCTGTGCTGTCATCATCATTTGTAAAAAACGAGAGAGAGAGAGAGAGAGAGAGAGTGCAATTGAGAATTATGCGCGCAATTCAATTATATATATTCATGTATCAGAGCCGCTTAAATAAAATGACGATGAAAATTGACGACTGTAATGGCCTAGATTTTTTTCATTATTTTCTTGTCGTTGAATAGACGATTAAAAATTTATTCGGAAAATTCACGAGAAAAATTGAAATAAACAACATTCAATTCAGCACCGTTAATGAGTTTTGTATAAATACCCTAACAATATAATACAAGTGGCTTTTGTTGTAACCTTTAAACAATTTTCCAATCTCTTGTGCGCCTTTTTTTTGCTCTCTTGCCAAATGTTAGTCTTTTTTATTGGTTGCTGTCTCTGCTCTTTTGCCAGAATGTTAAAAATGACATAAATGTCGTCCCTGGTGACCAACAGTGATTTTCTTTTACGATGGTTGTTTATCTTTTGTTTGTTTTTTTTTTCAAATTTATTTTGACATTAACATCAGTTTAAATATCGCGAATCGAATTGCATAGGGAAATACAAATTTAACTACGAAGAAAACCATTGGAAAATCAATCGAAAAATATATGCACAGAAATCATTAAAAAAAATATTTGAAGAACAGTTTAAAACAGAAGGGAAGACATGATGAAAAAATGCATGGGAATTGATAATGATGCGCTTAATTTGTTTTGCCCAACTTTACATTTATATATCACAACATTCACATGGATAAATCACATTTCTTGATTGATTAATTTATTTTATGAATTGAGAGTTTTTAAAAAATGGGATAACTGTGCAAAATACGGCTCACACTTCTACCAATACGTTGTGCAGTGTGCACAGTGAATTGTTTTTTTTTTAAATAAAAAACCGTACCTTCATCATCAAAATAGCAAGTCAATTTACAGTGAGTATTTCGACGTTTGAAGTTTTTATGAGAAAAAAGTACGATTTTTTTTGTTAACTGCTGCGCAAATGAATAAAAATTATCGTTGGTATTCTAAAGTGGCTTCATTCGTCATATGATTGGATTATGTTGAATTTTATTCAACTTTTGTGTTTAATTCAACAGAGAAAATGCACCATGATCTTTTTAAAATGGAGTTTTTTTAAGTATGGCAATTTTTCGTCACGTTTTTTTTTTGTTTAAATTCACTTTACAAGTGTGTTTGAATGACATGAATCGTACCCCGATATATTTGACCGTCGCTATTTGTATGTAAGTTCATTTTGCGTGTGTCCGTTGATGTTTCCCTTTAATTTAATAAATCAACATAACGGAACAAATGATACTTGAGCGGCGCCGTGTCCATCTCTGCCCCACATTTAATGCGACCGTATTTATACACACTCGCTAAATTAATTATGATATTTATTAATATCATAATCGGTTGGACGTATTACTAAAGTCACACGAGCGCATTACACTTATATCAAGGGATAATGTGACTGCATTCTAAAAAAAATTACAATGACTTACCACTTGCGATCGTTCGTATCGTTGATTTTGGTTGCTCAATTTTCACACTAAATGAAAATACTAAGGTAATTTCTCTCTCTCTCACACACACACACACAAACCCTCTGTCTCTGTCTCTCTTCTGCCTGGGCCAAAGAAAATGTTGCGAAATGTTTAGAAAATATTTGCTATTGCATACAATAGCACGTGCCGATGCGTATGTCATTTTGTTTACTTGTTTGTCTTTCTATTTAAGCAACCATTAAATTGAATCGTCACTTACTGTGCGACACAAAGCGACCCCCTTTATTTTCAATATATTGTAACCCGAGCACATAGCGGTTGAGAAAATTATAAACACATTGATCACATTAGAGTTGCTCATTTCGATGCAACAAACTGACTCAATTGAGATAATAATTTCACACTTCGAAACACTTCAATGTAAAATTCATAAAATAATGTCAAAAAATCAACATTTTCAATTGAAATTTAAAGCGAAACCGATATTTTCTTCAATAAAATGCGTCTTCGTCAATCTTCAGCGATGCCGATCAATGGCATTTACAATTTTCCCATCGTGCAAGCTTTCGAAAAACAATTATCTTTTTGACTATTTGTTTTAGGATTTTCGAGACAAAAAAAAAACACACACACACAACATACAACTAGTGCCACTTGCTAAATAATTATAGTAGATAAGGTTATGAGAAGGTAAATAAGTATTAGAAGAATGAATGCAATGTCGAGTATTGACTGGCGTGATCAACAGTGGGGTGAACGATTGTATTTATAAAATGTATTTCGGAATCAGATGATCAAAACAACATTTCGGTTTGAGTAGTCTAAACAGCGTCAATATTGATACGGTGTTTGATTATGATTGTTTTGTTCTTCGCGCTCTCTCTCTCTCCCTCTCTCTCTCTTTCTCTTTATTTTATTTGCCATCAACATCCGTTATTCAACACCATGATTCGTGTGACAGTAAGTGTACTCACAGCATGGCAGTTAAAGAGGGTTCGAAATTATAATTACCAATTCTAACGTTATTTTAACTCAATAAATGACAATCTGGTTTAATCGATCGATCGAAACACTTTGATATGACTTCTTGACGTTGTCGACAATGTTATTGTTGGTGTTTTTATTTTCCATCATTGTTTTCGAACCATTTTAATCGACGCTCAATATTCACTATTGCATTATTTATTGGTCATCATATAGCACGGGTAGCGATTTTATTTTTGTGTGTATGGCAAGTGCATCGAGGGCGACAGCAGTTGATGTTGATTGTACGACACGGAAAAAAAATATGAGCGTAAATAAAATTACATTTAATAAACATTTACCCATTTATAATTCATCGACAGTCGTCCAAATACAATTATTTAAAAGCATTTAATTATCCAGAAGCATATTGAAGTTGTTTTAAATTGTTTGCTTTTCTTTAGCACACACACACACACGCACGTTTGAGCCCAAACGAACGACGCGCATTCACACACACTCACTCATTTTCGATGATATTTTAATATGCAAACAGCCATCCTTTTTGAGTGGCTCCATTGTCACATAAACAATAAAAATCCATCGCATATGTATGCTATCGCGGAACTTGTTTTTAATTTTCGTTTGTTTTTAATTCACTTTATATGTGTGTTTTTCCAAATATTGACCGAAGGCGAAAATACAGTTAAGTAGATAAAGACATGATAAGCAATGCAACAATGCCAAAGGGTGGATTTTGACTTTGTAACTTGTTTTCATACCAATAATAATTCCATAATGGCACATATGTTTTTCTTAACTAATTCCATTTGGCCAACGAATTAAATGTAAATCGCTTAATTTTTCTATTGTTCTCTGTAATTCATATCGTACAATGCATCAAATATTATGCCTAAATCAATGCACAGATGTAATTACAAAGAACAAATATCGACATTTTTTTTTGTGTCCGACACGCTCATTCGAAAATTAGACGCAATTTAAATTCAGTTGCAATTTTTGTGATATTTTTTTCCTCTTCTCACAATCATATGAACGATGTACCACACTGCACGTTTCGACATTTTAAATATTCACCTCATTTCATTTGACTAATTGGAAAACTTTTTATTAAACTTTTAAATTTGTATTCATTGGAAAGTAAAGATGAATTGCATGGAAATGACACAAAGAACTTGTTTAAGGTATAGAGTCGTCGTGTTTTTCTTTCCGTGGTTTTCTGTAGTCAATTTTTGCCGAGCATTGAAGTAAATGCTTTTACAGATCGTTATCGTTCCACAATCAGCGTGTTTTGTTTACTAGAATCGTTTCTCGTTTTTTTGCCTTTTTGTTATTTTTGCCGAATTTCCTTTAATATACATGTGATTCAATTTGTTTCTCATTTTATTGTGACCAAAATACTTCCGACGCAATGACAATAAATATATTTGGTGAACAAAGAAATCGTCAAAAAAAGAGGATAGGTAGAAAATTCAATGTACACATATAGAAAATGTAGTCAAAATTCGATGTCGGTGTGAAGACATTTAAACATCATGTGCTATAATAGAGGTTGTTATCTACAAATGATAGCACGTAATTTACCTTCTGTCCAATTATAGTACTTAAACATTATTTATATTGGCAAGGGATAACAAAATAATAAAGACGATATGTTTTAAATGTGAGGAAGTTGAAA